TTTGCTCCTATCCCTCAAGAGCCTATTGGATCCTTACACTTTTCTGGCCATTGTGTCAGCTCTGGAAACATTAGTCACAAATTCAAAATAAAGGTGTGCAGTCAGTTATAATTTCCTTTGTTGTAATTTCTTTCTGCCTGGTATGGTCAGGATGGCAATATATGTCCTTTGTGTAGATTGTTTGAATGTTTGGAGCATGTCTCATATCTACCTTTTCACAAAACTTCTTTTGAAACAGGAAAGTTCTGGTATACGGAGTCAAAGCTCACAGAGTCAATTTTGCTCAACTCAAATTTTCTCTCTGCTCAAGCGGCTCTAGTCTTGTTTCACCAGTGAGGCTGTCAACCTTTTTGGTGACCAATGTCACAGCAAGGTGGGTCAAAACTCCCATGAGCTCTGCTTGACAGACTTATTTCTTTTTCTATAAGTTCACACTTCTAATGGGCAGGTCAAGGAATGGAAAGGTTACATATTACATCTCTGATGTAGCTGTGTTCAAGGCATTAGCTATTCTTATTTTGATCATCATGGCACTCATATTGGATCTTGGTAATTTATTTCTGATGGCCACTTCATAAATCATTGTTTAGTCATTACTTACCTCTTTGAGGCTGTTCATCTTAGGGCATTATTGCACTGTCCATGACTTGAGTGAAGTGATTGTAGTATTCCCTTTTTGCTCCTTTCATCTCAATTCAGCTGTTGTAAACCTAATCACCTAGCAAGGGGGATTTAGAGCTTGAAGAGGATAATCTACTAATAAAAATAACTTGCAGAAATGTCTATATACTGCTCTTCTAAAACCTACAATAAAAGATCTTTTTTGAAGGGGTACTGATACACAATTTCAAAGAAAAATATAACTCATTTAATTCATTCAAGGACACATGTCAAAGTATCAATGTATAATACCCAACACCCAAGCAATCAATTGAAGAGAAAAGCACAATTTTTATTCCTAGCCTCAACACTGTAATAGTGTTATTCCCGCAGATATAAAGAAATGATTATAGCAATACTTTAATAAGTATTATTCCCACAAAGCTACAACAATAAATAAATCTCTCCTATTTAAAGGGGCGGATTTAAGTGACCTGGTACTGTGGTAGTGAATTAATTATGATTTTATTAAACTACAACTTGTAAAAGATGAAGGAAAAGAAAGGAAAAAACCCTCCCTGCCAAAACAGAGCACACAAATATATATTTCCTCTTTACCATGCTCCTACGTCATTTCACAGCTTCACAACTTCCTAATTTCAACAAAAATTCTTCTTCAATTCTTTCTCTAGGATCTTCAACTCCATTCTGCTCAGCCTTCCTTCTTCTTAGCTCATTTTAATGTATACAATCTTTTTAAATGATGTGATAATTTGATCTTGACTTGATTCTTCTTTATACAGAGTATTTCTTGCAATTTTGACTTTTTCTGTTTTCACGTTTTTGTGGATCACTGTAGTCCATTAGATTCCTGGCTCTTTTCTGATTATTTCTGTGACCCCTATCAATACTTTTGAGATGATGGTTGCATCAAAAAAGAGTTGTAAAGGTTGTGGAAAATCCTTACAGAACATTACTTGTGATAAACCCATGTTACACATCTCTACATATGTGAAAACCCATGATGTAACTGAATTTTGTCTCATATGTATATGGCAAATTTGAAAGCTGATTTTCACTTTGTTCTTCTTTCTCTTCTAATAAATGTTTTGCTAATCCTCTGTATAGGAATCTCAGATTCCTTATCAGATCACACAACGTATATATCAGTCAGAGTCTTAGTAGGAGTATAGAGATCCGGAGAAGATGTGAGATGATATAGAGTTGTATAAGAAGAAAGTTTTCAATATCATTGAATTTCTTATTATCATAGCAACAAACTAAACCAAACAACAAAACCAAGAAACAACATAGTGAATTAGTTCATACCTTATCAGATCACACAACGTATATATCAGTCAGAGTCTTAGTAGGAGTATAGAGATCCGGAGCAGAGGTGAGATGATATAGAGTTGTATAAGAAGAAAGTTTTCAATATGATTGAATAGAAAAGAAAACTTTCTGGAACTGAGAAGGTTGATAAACTAGAACAAGCAATACAATTAGTGGTTAGGTTAAAGTTTAGACAGAAAGGTTGTGAGTAAACTTGTACAAAATACTTAGTGTATGTAATTGTAAAGAGACAGAATGTAATAACTACCGCAACAGTATTTTGTTCCAACACTCTGATACTGATGTAGTTGATATTGTACATTATTACATCACCTCTTCTGCATCCAATGGAACCGTAGCCAGACTTTTACAATTGGAATTGAACAATGTAACCATTTAAACTAGTTTTTGAGTTTCATGCTCATTTCTTCTTTTAATATGTAATTATCAAAGTAAGTCCTTCAATCTTTCCACTATATAATTGAATCTTGTTGTTATTGTTCTTAAGCTTCCTTTGCCCTCATTTTCTCTTAATTCTTACCTTATCATCTACTAACTTTCCTTATCCCCTTTTTTTCGAATTCCTTATGCCTTTTTGTCTCTTTTAAAACTTTGCTTCTTCAGAATAAATTTGTACATTGATGTTTATTATAAGATGAAATAAATACTAAACAATTTAACTTTGAACTTTGAATATAAAATTATGATTTTTGAGATTTTTCAACTTTTTTCTGGATTAATAATGTTCTAAGGAGATTTTTAAATTTTGATTTTAGATTGCCCATATGAATTGCTCACTACACTGTGTATGGTTTTTTTTGTCTTTTTGCAGCTAGGCACAACCCGCAAAAAGTATGTTTTTTGATTGAAGCTCAACAATAAGTACTTGTAAGCCAAAAACATAATTTTTCCTAGTTGTGTGTAGTTGTGAAAAAAGAAAAAAAAAACTATGTACAGCAAGATCTACACAGCTTTGAGTACCATAATTGTTTAGTATAGGGTACTCAAAACTTGTTTCTCTTGCATAAAGCTATTAACTTACCAGAGCAAGATAGATACAAGATACTGCTTAAATAAGTGAAGGATCAAGGCAACCCAAAATGATTTGGGAATAGCTGTGTTCAAACCAAACCCGGTACACTCAGTTGCATTTTTGGTGGTAACTTTATGTATCTAATGACAGCTCTTGACAGCTTCCAGCCAACAAGTCAACTGGGTGTACCGGGTTTTTGTGCAACCAGGTTTGGGTTGAACATGGCCAATGTATTTAAATATTCTCAGGATCACACAATTGGGAAGATTTAAGGCAAGTGATACATCAATATTCCAATACTTGTGAAATATTTGAAAGATTGCAAAATGGCCAGTGTCCCGTAGGCCAGCCAGAATCAGTGCACAGCCCTTCAAATTCTCTGCATTTTTTTGATTATACACAGCGTCCATTTTACTATGGCATGTCAAAGTGCACGCACGGAGAGGTTTGGGAAAAAAATGAAAAACACTTCTTTCAGTTTCTTTACAGAATTTGGTGAAATTCCGGCACCCCTTTAATCTCAGGAAAGGATATCAGACTTCCTATGTCTAATGGTATCACCACCTGAGGAACTCAAGAAGGGCTGTCTGTACATGGTGCTTAAGTCTAAGATCATTTGAAGCACCTATCCACTCTCTACAAGATGTCTTTTGTGTGAGCACGTCAACCTGACACTTGAATTTTTACACTGTGATAGTTGACTGACCATTCCTATGTGATCATGTCAGATTTTCACTCAGTGAGCAAACCATACAGGCAGTTTACTAGGTCCGGTGCCCCCAACTTCTTCCCACGCTGGTTGTAAAATGGCTGTATTTTGCTATTTGGTTGGTCTGGTGCTGGTGCTCTGATAGAACACAATCCTTGTTATCTTGCAAGAGTATGATGTTCAAGAGGCAAAAGTGTCCATTTGTTGATCCAAAGATTTTACTGACCTCAGAATTAGGTTATTGCACTAACTACAGAAGAAGCAAGCCTGTAGGTAACTACGGCTTTTCAGGCCCCAGCTCACTCACCAAAAGTAGCGGATGTTACACAAGTCCCTCTCCAGGGCACCGCGCTCACGAACGTTTGAAGAGCCCTGCAATAATTTGGCACTTGTGTCACATGCCAATGAGCACCATTGGCACTTAAACCTTTTTTCTTGAGACCAAGATATCTTGATCCTTTTCTGGATGAAGCTCAGTTTCACATACAACCCCTTGCCCCTTCTCCAGGCTTGGGAAGCGCGCTTTCTACTCTCATGGACAAGGACTACAATGTTTTAATGGTCTTACCCTTTTCAATGAAATCAATAAGGTCTTGAGATCAAATTCTCTGGAAGTCAAAAAAGTTGGATGTGGAATCCAGTGCGGTCGTTGGCTGTGCATAAATAACACCGCGTACGTGGCGGCCACTCGTTCACGTCTTTCATTATGCATTCAATGAGCTAATCAAAAAACAGTACCCTCATATATGCCTTCCTTTTCAAAGTTTGCAATAAATGAACCACTCTCTTGTAATTTTCCAGCGGGATACTTGAACCCACATATAAGCAACCAATCAAAATCAGTTCAATTCTTTCTCATCTTTCTGCAATCCAGTTGTGCACTTCATGAAGATCCCCTACCATGTTTGTATTTACATAATTCGAAGAAACAACTTCAGAACATATGCTGATCATCTCTAGGAGATCATCTCAAAGAATTTTCATATTCTTCTGCATATATTTTGTGTGGTTTTCATCAGTTTGATGTGCTGATATTGAATTGCAAAATTGTTAAATATTAGGCTGCTGTACATCGATCAAATCGCGAGGTGAAATTGGTTCGTGATGAAATGAGACTCTTCCCATGTTTGTTAGCTCAGAGAGCTTCGGTGATCCAAATCGGAACATTTCTACAGAGGAGTCGAGTTTTGGCAATGGCTGCTCGAAGGTCTTTCCCATATTTGTTTCACGTATCTTTGCTGAGTGAGCTAAAGATGCTAATTTCATCTTTTTAGGTTTTTCTAAAGGCCAAGCAGCTACGTAATCCTTTTCTATAGCTCTTCTTTTTTAGTGATCTTCGTCAAGATCTAAAGACTTCTTCGATCTATTCTTTTTCTTGCGCGGTTGTCTGACTTTTGGCGCAGATTTTGTCCCAGAGTCAAACACGCGAGTATCACGGGGCTTAGACCTTGAGCGCCGCTGAGTTGAAAGAGCAGATGACTCTGAACTACGACTTTCGATCTCTATCGATGGGGATCTTTTCTTTGCTTGAGTAATGGATCCAACCGTCTCATCAGATAATGAAGGATCAAGTTGAGCTTGTCGCTTGGAAGATTGTGGATCTACTTGGTAAGTCTGAGTTGGGCGCTTCCGCTGATCTGGTCTTGGAAACCTTACCCGCGCATCTCGAAAGGTTGACCTTGTGTTCTCAAATGTCATACTTGGCTTTTCTTGATACAAGTTCTGTTTATCTAGATCACTCGAAGGAACAACATGTCTCAGTTTTTTTTTGACATAAGAGGAAGCTGAGATATGAATTGATACCTGAGTAACTGTTAAAAGTCGCAAAAGAAAGAGAATAATACCTGGTTCAGCTCGCCCCAATTTCACTCCATTGTTTTTCCAATGGACAAATCCTGAGCCACGGGAGTCATCTGATCTCTCATTTCCACTCACCGCTTCAAAACTTCTTTGTCCTTCACTGTTAAAAAACCCACGTGATGATTCTTCTGACGAGCCACCGCCCTGCTTGGACAGAGGCACCAGGAGCTTGCCACTGTATTTATGGGATCCCATCGATGCTCCTTCCAATATCGGTAGGACATCTGCGTGGTGTATCTCATTTGAGCCAGGTTGATTGACAATATACCACCCTCTGTTTCTCTGTGCGAGACCCCAATATGACACTGGTCCCTGATTTAGGAATACTTCGTGCGCAGGAGTCGGACTATATAGTGATGAACTATGAAGGGGTGGGCTGGATATACTTGGAGTATCCTGTAAGCCACTATTCACGAGTGATAAGTAAAATAAATTGACAACCTATTTGATTTTGATCAGAGATACTTACAATCTTGAAGACCACTCTGAGAGTGTGCCTTGGTTTTCCTCTAAACTTGTTGATATGGGCTTTGTGAGGCGAAGCAGGCCATCAGTAAAATGATTGAAAGAGTCTCCAAGAGTTTCAAGTGGGTTTCTTTGGTTTGAGACGGGTGAAATGACTGGAAAGGCAGGAGGTGCGATTGAAGCATCATGTGTGGTGAATTGTGGTTCGCTGTGAAAGATTCGAGAGTCCATAAAGGACTCGAAATTTTGATCTCCCCCGAGGCTATGACCTGGGTAGCTTTCTGGATAGAACGCAATACGATGTTCAGTTGAGAACAGATACATGGAACTACTTAATAAAGCAGAGTGATCATATCCCCTAGAAGCTGGTATTCGAGCTAAGTTAGGTAATTTGTCGAATGAGTGACCTTGGAGAGATTGGGGATATGCTTCCGATGGAGATACTTTTCCAAACATCTCTAAGGTTCCTGGCGGAGGTTCAGCAACACTTGGACTTTTTACTGATTTCCACTCGTGATGCGGCTTCGGGGCTCTCACCTCTGGACTTTTTGGAGATGATTCCCTTAGCAGGTCGAGCCGGGCCAGCGAGTCATCCGCGATCCCTGGAGGCTGGTGTATAGCATGAAGTCCTTCTGGGTAGTACCTTTTTCCCGCGAGTTGGTCTTGATCCCATGAGTCTTCTCCGAGGATATTCGCATGGGTGTCCGATGAGGGAACATTCAAGAGATTCGCGTCACGCCGAGGAGTTGCTACCTGCGAAGCTGGACGCGATAAGTGGGACTGGGTGTCTTCTCCTACCTCTTGATGTGTTGGATGACCTTCCTGACTCTCGGCTCCGCTCCAACTATTGACCGCTCCATCGCGCGCGTTGAAGACACCTGAACTCATTTCTCCAGAATAGTGAAGACTTGGAAGAGACTTCGCAGCAGTTGGATCAAGCAGACAAAATAATCAAGGCTTGTTCTCTGTCTTGATCTCCGGGAAAACACATTTGAATTCTTCACTGACACTCTTCCCATATATGCTGGTGTAAAAATCGTCAATCGCAGTATCATGACCAGTAGACCAAGTGGGAATGCCAACATCCGACGCAATCGACGGTTCTGGCACGTCGAAGAGTATGCTAGATGTATATTCTCTTGCGAGTGAAGATACTTCCTGCTGATGAAGTGCCGGATCGAAAGGTTCCGCGAAGTAAGAGTTTCCCATGGTTGGGACAGGGTGACCTATGATCTTGGATAAATCCTGGACGCCCATAGCTGTCAATAATATAGGCCATTTGAGCATTAAGACGATATTCTGGCATAACTTCTTGTTGAACAGATCCATGTCGAGTCGCCAGTTTTTGATCTGAGGCACAGATTTTTCGTGCCGGTCTTAAATACCATTCTGACTGGAGAGCTTCGGTAGCCTGAGTGCAACCCTCATGCAAATGAGATTTGTATCATCAGAAGTACTGTAAAACTAGCATGCGACCGACTAGTCCCGGACACCATCAGCGTCTGCGCGACTCTGCGCTACCTCGTCAACTGTTGAAAGTTAAGAACGAATAACTGTGAAGTTTTTCGTCTGAAGAATCCTTGAGGTTTCATCCGACATGTAGGTGTAGGTAGGTGTTCCTGACAAAACGCTTTGCACATAAGGTTCAACCAGCACTCGCGAGAAAGAAGACGTGTTATAGGCTAGAACGTGGTTAAAGAAATAGTTAAGTTTGCTAGAGCGTGCTGCTGGGCCGCTGCAGTCATTAAAACCATCTCCCTTTTTGCACTACGGGGTTGACGTCCCAGATTATTCTGGCCCCTTTCGCAAGTTCATCAAACGCGTCAGGTGCAATCAAACCCTCGGTCCCCTGCAAGATCCCGTTATTGGCACCTCTCAAACATTCTTGCTTGCTTGAGGATATGTCCATATGAGAGGTCTAACATGGACAAATGTGAAGCGGTGTCCAAGTTAAAACGCAACGGCCACCGACACTATGCACAAAGCTGCAGAGCAATCTTCTCTTGTGCATCCACTTGCAGTAATGATCAAAGAAAACCTAATAGCTTCGTTTGGCTGCGGCTCTTATTTGAGGACAAATGTGACACTTTCTTCAAACATCTTTCACTGCTCATGCAAGACTTGGAACATGATGAGCCCAAAAGCATCAGACTTGTAAAATAAGACACATTTGAATTGCTAAACAAAAAAAGGAAGAAAACAAATCTAGTAAACAAAGACGATGCCAAAGATCTTTTCATCAAAATCACTCAATTCCCTAAACAAAACCACTACAATCACCAATCTTAGGTTGTATACTCAAAACGGAGCACAGGGGGGCTTGCCACATGATAAAGACTTGGTGCGATTTTTGTATTTTTTTCATCCATCTAAGCAGCCTAGTGACCCCCTTTGGGTACTGTTACATGAACACCGCATATAACTTCCTCTGAACTTCCCTCCTCTGTCCGCTCTCACCTCATACAGAAACAACTTTGAAAAAGAATGAGCCGTATACCCAAATCTCCTAAAGTTCGTCGTGCGATCCAAGTGGGTCATCAGAACCACCGCCTGAGGCGTAAAGTTTACTCGTGATGGGTGAGACGATGGCTTGTAGGGCTTCTCGTTGTTCATCAAAGTCTTCAGCGGTGGCAGTTGTCGTGTTGTCATCAAGCCACTCTTGAGCTTTCTTGAGTTCGGAAGTGATGGTCTTTTTGTCGTCATCTTCCAACTTGCCTCCAAGACCTTCCTTATCAGCGACTTGGTTTTTGAGGGTGTAGATGAAGTCTAGATGGGGGCTCATGTCAACAACATGCCCTCGTTTGATCAAATGGACACCACTTACTTTCAAAGGCGTTTCGAGATTCGATCTTCTTCTTGAGAGCTTCATCCTGGTCAGCAAAGTCAGCGGCCTCCCTGACCATTCGGTCAATTTCGTCTTGACTGAGACGACCCTTGTCGTTGGTCTGGTGCAAATTAGACAATAGTGATCAGTGGCAGCGCCCGACGTGCATTGCTCGAGTAGGAGAAAAACTTACGATAGTGACAGATTCAACTCGTCCACTGCCCTTGTCAGCAGCTGAGACTTTCATGATACCTATAGCAGAGACAGAGCAAACACTTCAGCTCAAGTTCCTACCAACGCAAACAGGCAAAGCTTACCGTTGGCGTCAACTTCAAAAGTGACCTCAATTTGAGGTACACCTTTGGGGGCGGGGGGAATGCCAGTGAGGTCGAATTTTCCTAATTGATGGTTGTCCTTGGTCATGGCACGTTCACCTTCGAAGACCTGGATCGAGACAGTGGTTTGTTGGTCGGCGGCTGTTGATTGATAAATTGTTAGCTTTCAGGATCACATGGTTGACTGATCGAGAGGGGCCTACCAGTAGAGAAGATTTGTTGCTTCTTGGTGGGTACGACAGTGTTTCGGTCAATGATCTTGGTCATAACACCACCGGTCGTCTCAATACCCAAGGTTAAGGGGCAGACGTCGATCAAGACCAAATCTTCATTTCCTTCTTCACCAGCCAAGATACCACCTTGAACAGCAGCACCAAACGCAACAGCTTCATCGGGGTTGATTCCCTTGGAGGGTTCTTTGCCGTTGAAGTACTCTTTGAGAAGTTCTTGAACCTTAGGAATACGGGTAGAACCTCCAACCAAGACTACATCATCGATTGCCTACATCAATGGAGCGAATGTAAGTCGCAGTCCCAAGCTTCATGAACATATTGCCTACTTACATCCTTCTTAACGTTGGCATCCTTCATCACTTGTTCAACGGGCTTCATAGTCTTTCGGAAAAGATCGATGTTGAGCTGCACAGAAGACGCAGAGTGATCATCAGCCAGCATCCAAAAAAACGAAATAAAATAAAAGCTTACCTCCTCAAATTTGGCCCGGGTAAGGGTTTCAGATAAATCTTTACCGTTGAAAAAGCTTTCAATCTCGATTCGGGCTGATTGCTGACTAGAGAGGGTTCGCTTGATCTTTTCAACGTCCCGTTTGAGTTTACCCATGGTTCGGAGGTTGGTAGTGATATCTTCACCATCGTGCTTTCTCTTCCATAATTTGATAAAGTATTCAATCAATCGGTTGTCGAAATCTTCACCACCCAAGTGAGTATCACCAGCTGTGGCCAACACCTCAAAGACACCCTCATCGATGGAAAGGAGGGAGACATCGAAGGTACCACCTCCAAGATCGTACACAATGATTTGTCGTTCACCCTTGGTCTTGTCAAGACCATAGGCAATAGCGGCGGCGGTTGGCTCGTTGACGATACGAAGAACGTTCAAACCAGCGATCATACCAGCATCCTTAGTTGCCTGACGTTGAGCGTCATTGAAGCTGTGCAAACAAACATGGAAGCATGAGTGAAACGGTCTGAACTTGAGCGATTGCTATGAAGAGAACTTACTAAGCTGGGACGGTGACAACAGCGTTGCTAACCTTACGACCCAAATAGGCCTCTGCGGTTTCTTTCATCTTTCCTAATACCATGGCTGAGACTTCCTCAGGAGTAAATGTCCTTTTCTCACCCTTGACCTCGACTTGAATTGCTGGTTTGTCTCCTTTCTTGACAACCTTGAAGGGGTAAAGTTTGATATCACGTTTGACATCTGGGTCATCGAATTTACGTCCGATCAACCGTTTGGCGTCGAAAATTGTGCTGGAAAAGTATCCAAGAATGCCTCGTGAGCCATGTGTGCAAGATTTAAAAATTAAAGAGATCAGTCGAATACTTTGTAGGATTGGATGGAGCCTGGTTCTTGGCTGCGTCTCCGATCAGTCGATCACCTTCGGCGGTGAATGCCACATATGAGGGTGTGATACGGTTTCCCTGTAACACAGCCAATCGCATAAGTTACATTGACTCATTCTCCATGGTGATCTACTTAAAACAATACAGAAAGTATGAAAAATGAGTTACAAACCTGATCATTTGTCAAGATTTCAACTCGTCCACGTTCCTGGACACCAACACAAGAGTACGTAGTTCCAAGATCGATACCGATTACACTTCCCAACTACAGAAAAGAATTCAAAGGTCAGTTTAAAGATAATATCGGGGGGCCACGAATACGAAATTCAACTCACTGCAGCCGTTGAGTTGGACTGGGCGTTAGATGTACCAGAGCATGCCAACATGGCAGCAACGGCAAGAACGCTTGCCCAAAGCGGCCTAGCCGCTGAAGTGCGGGATCCCCAACGGGGGATTATTTGAGACATATTCAAAGAATAGTCGACCGGTTACTGAGGGTAGCTTGAGGAATTAGACTACAGAAGAATAGAAATGAGAAGGATAGAAAAGCCATGATCGATCAGAATGTGAAGGTAGATCAACTAAGATCGAAAGCAATAGGATGAAAGACAAACCAAAATAAATGAACTAGAAACAATAAAGCTCTTGTTGAAAGATTATATCCAACCTATTGAAGTTTTGATGAGAAGATGGTAAGAGTAAATTGGAATGGGGTTAAGAGGTCAGGAAGGGAAACCTGAATTTATTTGGAAAATCCGTTTCAGTGAATTTCAATTGTGACACCACAACTTACGACGTGGAGCTGACTACTGCGCTCCGCAGCACCTTCTCGTCACCTTACACGTCAACACCTCAACTCCTGCCTACCAATCGGTCTTTCCAGAAGATTCAGCCTGATTCAGCACCATGAGTGTCCGTGTCATCGACTTGCTGGAACTGGCCTTTGAAGTTTCCCTTGCCAATCAAGTTGACGTCTAACCTTGTTTACCGTATTCTTGCCTTTCCGGAGTCTGTTCAAGCTCGTCAGATCTCAAAAGTCTCGGCGAGATGCTCGACGGAGTTTCATAAGGATTGCGATAAACTTTCTGCTGGGATCACAGGATCAGAGGACGGAATACTTGGTAGTCGTGAAGTCGGACACCGGGATGCGCATCCCTATGCTACATGTCCTCTCGAGGCGTTCTCCATCAGATGTCGTCTCACAACAACGTTTTTCACAACTCGTGTACTCAGCTTTTGCCTTCATACGCCGTAACAAAAGTTTGAACCTTGATAAAACTTCAGTAGCTCCGGTCCATGTCATGATTGTTGCGGACAAACTGTTGTAAGTTCCAACCTCTTCAGTCTGCGCATGTCCCTTTGAAGCCTGATGCTTTCATCGCATCTAAAGCTTTCGCAGTGATGGATCTTGTAGAATAACTTACATACATACATGATGCATCGACAATCCCGTGTGCTTAGCTTCAAAGCTAAATCTCATGGTGAGTATTTTGCTGGAACCAAGGTGAAAATCTCAGGAGGGCGAAGTCACAGCAGAGCTCGCTCAGAGTGCTTTCTCGGTGAGTTGAAGACGTTGAAAAAAATAGACAGTGAGTGCGTGACTCTTGACTTACATATCTTGATCAATTCGCATCATTTGTATTCCTGCTCAGTAGAGCGGTTCTAGTCTCGCTCTAAGGAGTCTATGCATAATACTCAAGTATGTATGCTTGAGTTTTGTTCATTCTTTTCGACACTTTTGCTTTGAGCTATACGGGCGGTATGAGATGATATTTCTATGATTGATCAATTGATATGATCAAGTACATGAACCGTTTGAAAATCAAAATTTGTTCCAACACGATTGATAACCGAGTGAGAGCTTTGAAGACAACTTCTTGACGGTGTTACGACTTTCAACACAGGTAATTATAAGATAATATATGCACGATCTTTGAATGAGTGAGATGAAACAAGTAGAGAAAAAGATAAGAAAGATTTAAATCTTTGCGACGAGAGGAAGACTAATTAGGTACATTAGAAGGGTTACAAGGAAGTGGATGGCTACAAGTCTAGCCATTTCGTTCTACATCAACATCTGCATCAATCTCAACGTGAACTAAAACATATTCCTGTCATTTTGAAGGTCATTTCCTTCATTTGTTACTGTTGAGTGGGACTTGTTATCACAATCTGACTTGTGTCGAGTCAACCTATGCTACAACTCAAAAACAATCTGAGGATGAAAAGATTTTTTTTAAGAATCTCATTCACTTTGCAATAGTTTGATAAGCCATTTGAGGCCTCTCACCGTGTATAATGGCAAATGCGTCGGGACAGTAAATGTAGGCCGATACCAAGCAAACATTTCACCGCCAAAGGATGCGTAAAGCCCAAGATAGTGAAGTGAGAAGGTGAAAGCTAGCAGACGCCTGAACCGGCCTTGGTCAACCAACATATGCGAGTGGAGATTTGCAACAACAGAAGAATGTAAGATTATCAATTGATCATTACCAAAAACTGATGAGGTGAGGGCAGAGACACTTTAAATACATACAGCACTAGATGAAAGTACTAGAGATACAAGGTGAAATCGCCTAGATCAAAATCTAGTTAATGGAAGTCTATATCGAAAAAGAACTGGTCAAGATAGGTCGGCAAAGATGACTTGTGGTTCACAAGGCGATAAATGCTTTTCAACTTTTCTACACAATCTCGGACGGTGTTAAAGGCTATCTATGAGCAAGGCGTTATAAAATTTATCAAACTTATAATCTTCATTAAAATATGATACCAAGGCATCTTTTTGATATTCTCGTCAATAGTAACACTCAGTATTAGAAACCTACAATCATGAAGTAAGAACTTGCTGTCAGTTAATTCCGATTACCATCGTCACATTCAAATATTACTCAAGTAATATATCCAATCAATCTTTGTGATTTTAATGTCTCTTTAGAAAGAAATTTATCCTCTCCATTAATTATTTTATTTGTTTTGATACGTGAAAAAGGTTCATCGGTTCATTGGTTCGGGTAGTTTTTCTTATACATATTCTTACGATTGATTCTTTCTTCATCTTCTTCTTTGCACCGGGTGTGCTTAAATAATTCTTTTAAACATTTTACACACTTCAAAATCCTTTAATTTAAATTCAACTTCATCAACTGGTCTTCAACATGTCACTCAATTTATCTTTTCTCATACCCTTTTTAATCGCTATAATAATCTTAGAAACAAGAGCACAAACCCGACCACCTAATCAAATCACGCCACCTCCAACGACCCCACAAGCCGGAGGACCTTCAACCCTACAAAGACCTCAACCAGGAAACAATCCTCAATCACAACAAACTTTTACCAATAATCCAGCATCAGCATCATCCACAACTCCAGTTGCAACAAACCTGAATCCAGGTTTAGAGGGAGTGAACTCTTTAACAGATCCTGATGGTACTCTTAAAGCTACTGTTCAAGCAGTTAGTCGTGAATACAATCAAATGACTGAATTAGTTAAACAATTTAGGATCGCAGCTTTTATTCCATTATCAAGTCAACAAACACTAGCACAAGAAAGTTTTGTAAGATTAAATTTTAATGTGTTTTAATCTTAGTTTGAATTTCTTAGAAGATTGATTTGATTTTACTTTTTTTTAGTTGGAAAGTTTAAGTCCTGAACAAAGGGTGATATTTGATAATCACGTAAAGTACCTCATCTTAACACCAACTCAAAGAGCAAAAGAACGAGACTTTATGGTACATAACTGGTTTCCTTCTTTTTTTTACCCTTTCAATCTTCCATCAGAACAAATCAAAAAAACTAATAATTCATTCATTCAATTCTCTAGTCAAGTTTTGTAACACCAAAAGTTAAAGTAGCAAACCAAGCTGGATTTGACGCAGTTAAACGAGATCTTTTACCAGAAGCACAAAGAGATTTCGATCCAGCCGAAGGAATGAAAAATATGGGTCTCACAACTGTGAGTCAGAGTGATCGATTTCTTTATCCTTTCCAATTTATTCAACTCCTAATTCATTCTATGACTTTTATTTGTCTCTTTTATAGGACCAACAACGTAGGTTTAGGAATGGAGTTCAAAGGTATTTAGCAAACCCAAGTGCCAGACTTGAAGCTGAACAAGCTACAATGCCTTCAAATGCTCAACGTAGATTACTATCTAATAGTTCATCCAATTTGGTTCCTCTACTTACCTTGTCGATTACTTTTCTAAGTTGTTTTATCATCTTGTCTTGAAGATAATCATCATTTTGATTCTAAAGTTTTATTGTTCATTTAGATCACAATCCAACTTTGTACTCATTATTATCTTCCATCTGTGAAGCCAAAGAAAAAGTAAATTATTGAATTATCAGAATATCAAATCTTTCAACAATCGCATTGTGAGGATTTGCTCTTTTGAAACAAAAAAATCAAGTACATGACCATCACGTACAAGTTATAATCTTTGAACACTCTGCGATGAATTTAAAAGGAACCCAAAATAAAAACACCCACCATTGAGACAACATCACATAGTATTGCCATTGATCACAAATGTGTCTGATTATTCCTTGGGTAGCCTCAATCGGATATATCATTTTGACCCTGTTTCATCCTCCGCATTCACAAAGTTTCCTTCATATGTCTCTTCCAAACCCATCAATTATATCAGTATATATCAGCGTTATATGATGCCTTATTTTCTCTCCACATACATGATAGACCTAGCTTCCGATATTTCCACTTGAAAGGTTTTCACATAGACCAGGAAGTAGATCATGATATCCTCTTTGAAGTTTGGTCTTGGATGCAATCACTTATCATGGGTGAAGTGCGCGGAGTTGGAAGTTGAGTTTTCTGTGACATCTGAGGGTTTATGTGAAAGGTTTGTATGGAATCCAACGTCATCGATCAAAGTTCGATTCTGAGTCCAGCTCAAACCGAACTACATAGTTTCAAGACCAACTCATTCGATCACTTCTCATCAACATGTCAAGATTAACTCCACTGGTGATCGATAATGGTACAGGTTATTCTAAAATGGGGTAAGTTCAATTCTCAAAACCCACCAAACCACCAAACCACCAAACTGACTCTTTGGATAAACTTGAACAGTTTTGCAGGAAACTCAGATCCATCTTTCGTGTTTCCAACAGCAATAGCCACAAGAGTAGGCACCAGTAGTGGAGGAAACTCATCAACTCCAGCTATAGCTGGTAGACCTACTATACCTAACAAACCAGGAACATTATCATCTTCATCTAATCTAGCTACCAAACGTGGTATAGATGATTTAGATTTCTTTATTGGTCATGAAGCCATTTCAAATTCAAAAACTTATAATTTAAATTATCCTATTAGACATGGTATGATTGAAGATTGGGATTTAATGGAAAGGTATTGGCAACAAACGATTTTTAAATATTTAAGAGCTGAACCTGAAGATCATTATGTTTTATTAGTATGTTGATTTCTAGATGATAATCCGATTCGATTGTCTTTTTTTTTTGATTCAATTTAACTTTACAATTCGTTCGTTTTTTTTTCTTTTTTCAATAGACCGAACCACCTTTAAATCCACCTGAGAATAGAGAACAAACAGCAGAAATCATGTTTGAAGGTTTAAACATTCAGGGTGTGTTCTATGTCTATCTTTCAGTTATATCCTTGAAAAGACCACAAGAAAGTAGATCTGATCAAAAACTTGAATTGGATTTCTTTTTCAAAGGATTATATATTGCTGTTCAAGCTGTTTTAGCATTAGCAGCAAGTTGGTCTAGTAATAAAGTCACCGATCGTACTTTAACCGGAACAGTAATCGATTCAGGTGATGGAGTCACCCACGTGATCCCAGTCGTAAGCATCTATCTCCTACTCTCAACTCAATCAATTCAAAGCCCTAAACTTGAATGATCTTTCCATCACAATAGGCAGAAGGATATGTGATCGGGTCATCCATTAAACATATTCCAATAGCAGGAAGAGATATAACTTATTTCGTACAACAATTACTTAGAGATCGAAATGAATCATCTAATATACCATCAGATGAATCATTAAGAATCGCTGAAAAGATTAAAGAAGATTATGGTTATGTTTGTGGTGATATGGTTAAAGAGTTTCGAAAGTATGATTCAGATCCTGATAAATATATTATTAAACATGAAGGCTTTGATTCTAGAACTAATAAAGTGAGTCAATCTATCATCAAAAAATTCATTAACATCAGATATCAGATTGAAAGCTTATCCCTTTTCTTTTCTTGAATAAAGCCTTATACTATAGATGTAGGATACGAACGTTTCTTGGCAGCAGAAGTTTTCTTTAATCCAGAAATCTATAGTTCAGATTTTTTAACACCATTACCAGAAGTAGTAGATAATGTAATCCAAACCAGTCCAATTGATGTTCGTAGAGGATTATATAAAGTTGAGTTTAAAAAACCTCGATCTTTCAAATCAAAAGATAATAGAATCGATTGACCATTTTTCTCTCTCTCTCTTTCTTTTCCAATTTGATTGATTTTTTGGATTGATTGAAACTTTTGTTCTCATAGAATATCGTTTTATCTGGTGGTTCAACTATGTATGATCATTTCGGTAGAAGATTACAACGTGATTTGAAATCGATCGTAGATGATCGTCTATATGAATCAGAAGTAGCTTCTGGTAATCTAATTAAAGTCAGTCCATCCACTTTTTCCTTCTTTACACATTCCTGCTTCACTTCAAAATCATAAGTTGATTTTTCTTTTCATGTATTGATTTGAACTCTTTTTTTTTTGATCAGTCAACTGGAATTGATGTGAATGTGATCAGTCATAAACGTCAAAGATATGCAGTTTGGTTCGGTGGAAGTTTGATGGCTTCAACCGTACGTTTCTTTTTCTTTTAGATCTTCTACCAAGCCACTCTTTGTGCTGGAATCTATCTAAATTTCATAAACAAAACAAATAATCTAAATCATCACTAATACATATATGATCTTTATTTTTCTATAGCCTGAATTTTATAGTCATTGTCATTCGAAAGCTGATTATATGGAATACGGTCCTTCGATTTGTAGAAGATATCAAATCTTTGGTTCTGCAACTTAACATGTTTTTTTTTCTTTTTTCTTTTGACTTTAATGAGTTAATTTTTTTTAAAGAAAACAAAAAAACATTAAAATGAATGAATGAATGTAGATTTAGATTTAGTATTGATTGATTGGTTGAATGAATGAATGAAAATTTTATATTAAGAAGATAGTTGGTTTGAATTCAAAATAAAGTGAAATCAAGACTTTTTTTTTTTTCTCAAAGTGATATTTTTCTATCTATGGTGTGATGATGAATGAAGATGAATGAAGATGATTTCTTTCAAATGTTTTTTTGTCTCATATCTTATTTTACACTTGTTGTATTTGCGAAAACAAATTCAAATTCAAAAATCCGTTTTTTTTATAGAGCATTGTCAGCTCAGCAGTGCCAAGTAGTGATGAGAAACCTTGATGGATTTTATGTTGTTGAGCCCATACCATACAAAGGACTCAACTCTAAAAGCTCCCAACCAACACCTACATTTTTTTCTTTGGACAAAAACTGCCAATCCTCCAAACTTATCGCCCGATATCCGATCGGGTTGTCCGGCGGATATCCGGCTATTTTTTAAAAAAAGAAAAAAAAATAATAAGGGGGCCTTTTTTTCCGAACGTCCTCGAATCTCAATTGAATATTCATCGTTTTTCATCTTGATTCCTCGATTGCTTAAGATTAACATATATATTATAAATAATCATTAAACCCACATAGATATCAACTGGCGCAAATCACCGCTCAATCCTCTTTAATTGATTATCGAACTTTCAGCATGTCTCAAGCTGATTCCAATTTAAGCTCACAGCCCGAATTAACCCCTCAAGTGGAACGCTCGGAATCTTTATCAACAAACGTTTCTTCTTCTTCTACTACTACTACCAGTTCCAAAAGAAGCCACGTATGGCATTATTTTACTAAGCATCCCGATTTCAACAAGTGTGGTTTTATAATGAAAGACGGAAAAACATGTGGTCAAGAGTTAGCTCGTGATAAGAAGGGAAGTACCAAATCGATGTCAACCCACCTCGAAACTAAGCATGGTGTCCGGGATCCCAACCTACCCAATCAATCGAACATCGCGGCACTTTTCAAGAAAGTCAAAACGGATCACTTAGTAAGTTCAATATCTACTTTTCATACTCACACAGAAAGCTGACAAATTCCTTCTTTCCGACGAAGAATTCTCTTAACGCTAGCAGCCTCATGACTGCGGTGACCTACTTCATTGCCGATTGTGATCTTCCATTTGCTTTAGTCGACCGAGCTTTGTTTCGAGACCTGTTAAAACTCTGCAACCCTCTTGTCGATGGGATGCTTGTCAAAAGACACGCACTTGCTCACCACACCCGCAAAATCTATTATCATTTTGAAGAATACATCAAGAAGCTTTACTTCGAGCCTTGTATTGGAATCGCAATAACTCAGGATGCTTGGACTTCTCCCAACAACGTCCCCTATATGGCACTCACCGCTCACTTCATCATGCAGGATTGGAAGCTCATGGATCTTACGTTGGGAATTTCAGAAATCCAAGGTAAACGAATTTATACTTCTAAATTTGATTAACACATACTGACTTATATTTTGTAGGTGCTCATGATGCCAAAAATTTCGCCAACATCATCATCGATTACCTTAAGAAATATAATCTCGACCAAAAATTATATGCCATGACCGCTGATAACTTGAATACGAATGCTGCCATCGGTCAAATCATTGGTATGACCGAAGACATGACTTTCGACCATCTTACTCAGGTCCATGGATGTGTAGCACACGTCATCAACCTCGCCGCCAAAGAAGGTCTCAAGGTCTTTGGCGAAGTGGTTGATTATGATGAAGGTGAAGTTTCGATGAATGCGATGAATATCTCCAACCTTGTCGACCCACCCGATGTAACTCAAGTCGACCTCAAGACTATTTATAATCGGTGCCACGGTCTGGTTGCCTCTACGCGGTCTAGCCCTCAGTGTGCGCAGAGCTTTGCCTCTATTGTCAAGATGACACGTGACCTTGCTAAGCACAACCGCGGCACCGATGCACCAATCAACAATCCTGTTGACGATCTTGCTGAAGAAGAAGCTGTCAGCTTCATGGAACGAGATCCAACGACCAAGGATTATTTCCAGCCTCAGCCAAAATCACGCGACACTGCCAACAAACTGGTTGCTGATGTCGCGACACGATGGAACTCCTCGTATTACATGTTTCGAAGGCTTTTACGACTGCAAGAAGCTTGCGATGAGTACTGTAAGGCTCCAACCTATAGGAAGTTTGCTCTCTCACCACTCGAGTGGAATTATGTCAAGCAAATGTGTGAATTTCTCAAACCTCTCAGCTATGCAACCGACTTACTTTGCCAGTCAAGATACCCAACAATGCATCAAGTGGTACCTATTTATGTTGTGGTCATACGAGGTCTCAAAGTGGTAAGTGATCAATCAATCCTTTATTACATTTTCATTAGGCTAATATAAAATCAACTTCAGGTTGTCAACCGATACGATCATGAACAACTCATACCTGCATCCCAAAAGATGATTACCAAGCTTGAAGATTATTTCAAAAAAGTTCTTTCTAAACCTGCTCCCATTTGTGCTACGATTTTGGATCCGCGCCTCAAGTTATCATATTTTCAAGTAAGTTTAGATATCAAACATACATTTTTACTTAGCGCTCTGTACTGATTAAGATTTTGATTGATCAACACATAGGAACGAGAGATGTTCTTGGCCGATTACGATCTCTTTATTCCCAACATCAGGATGATGTTTGAGCGTGAGGCAAGGAAGTTTGAGGTTGAAGCACAAGTCAGCAATCAACCAACTACTAGATCAACTGTCATGTCTACTTCCCAGTTTTTTGAAGACGAGATTTTTGGTGTCCAAGATCAAGAACAGGACCAATCAATTTTAGGTGAGATCAATCGATACCTCAGTGATAAACTTGAACCTCGTATAACCCAACCTTTAACATTTTGGTCATCTCGACAGGATATCTATCCTGGATTGGCGAAGATGGCAATGCAGATGCTGGCCATCCCAGCAACAAGTTGTCCATCGGAAGGAGTTTTCAGCAAGTCTAAGAGAATCTTGGGACCCCAGCGTGCTAATCTTGCTTCATTAAATGTTGAGGTCCTTTTATGTATCAAAGATTGGTACCGTGTTTTTGGTCCTTTGTATAGGACCGACGCTATGCCTGATACTAAGATGCCCATTGTGATAGATTAGTTCCTTTCAAATTTGTATCTTTTTTGTTGTTTTCTTCCTTTATAAGCCTTTGCAAAGCACACGTATAGCCTGTTGTCTGAACCACTATATCCGTCGGATATCCGTCGGTTACTTTTTTTTCTTACTTTGTCGCCCGACCCCCGAACCGACGGATTATCCGGTTTGGGGGGGTTTCTCTCACCTCAGCCGACATCCGGACCCGTCGGGTCCCCGGCGGAGCATCCGACGGATCTGGATGTCGGGGCTCGCCTTGAACTGGGTTTTTGAAAACCGGGTCAGGTTTGAGAGCCCCTATTTTCAACTCTCGCCAGCCCAAAGATAAAAAAGATGCGCCTCGGTCTTACCTAGCATCCCATAATCTCAGATTTGCAATAGCATGAGTAATTCTCAAGCTATGAAGCAAAGTCCATCCTGGCTGATACACGGGGCTAAAACACTTACATTGATTTGATTTGCTGCGCGTCTGAAATGTTTACTTTTGGCATACAGGGAAAACAGCGGTTTCATGATGCATTATTAGTGCATGATTAGTCCAATCCCATCCTCCGTTAGTCCAATCCCAGTCTTCCAAGCTGTGTCCTAGTTCCAAGCCGGCGGTACGGTATTGACAGCATGTTTTGCATGTGCCCGTCAATTGATTATCATGGTCTTTAGACGTTTGTTACCGCTGGACCACATTCTGCTACAGGTTTGACCATGATAGTGAGCGAGTAAGAAAGGATCTAATTGCTCACATGGGTCGTGAATGAATGTGAGTGATAGGTGTAGAAGTGCAAGTGTTTGAGCATGAGAATGGTGATATCGAACGGATCACAAACACATCGATGTAAACAAAAACGTCTCTCTCTCCCTTGGCAAGACGTTTGAGGTGAAGGTGGACTTTTGTGGGCAATAATCAAATTTTATTCGAGTTACAAACGGGATTGGCCTAGTAGTACATTCCCAATAGCTGGGAGTAATAAAGGATGTGTTGCTTGAAAAAATTCTCATATCCCCGACTCAAACAAAAACATCTTCCTCAGCGCATTTATATAATTTTTTATAAATTACAAGTTCATATATATCATATTAGTAGATAATTGTTTAAGAATTCCAAGTGCCTCTTTTGTTTGAAAACTTCACACGTCGCTACCTATGTTTCAACAGCCTGAAGCCAACACAAAGCGGCCAACAAGTGCAATCGTCCGTCACACCAATGAAGCACTAACTTACATGACCGGTCTGGGTCTCAACCCAAAGCAATTTATGATTACATTCTGGTCCTCTGATAACAAATCAATTGCCTATCGCCGTTGCCAGATGAAGAATGGTCAGGGTGGTGGTAAGACGAAAACTTTATTGAAGCATATAGGCATAAATATGAAGCATTCAACCGAAGGTCAGGCCAACTGGGAGTCCTTCATTTTGGAAGAAGTGAGTGAATAAACTTACCTTTATCACAACTTATATACGGGTTCAACTAATGTTGTGGTATTCAGGCTAGTGCAATTGTGAACTCCCAAGAGGTTGCCCGAGGCGTGTATCCTGCTGGTGCATATGTCAGTTCCAAACATATCACCCCGGACTTTTTCAGTAAATCATCAGAAGACCATCGTACCATGCAAATTAAAGAAGGCATGCCCTTCCTGCATGCTTTGATATCTCAAAAGATATCTGGGGGTATTCAGATCCCAGACCTTACTCAGTACAATGATGACAATGTCATCACTTCCAACGGATTGAATGCCACTTCGGCCCCACTAGACACACTGGAAGCTGAGGATGAGGCCAATGAAGACGCGGTGCTATCATTGGCAAATTTGGTGCACATAAAATTGACCCCTACAGAGGTCACGGCCCACAAAGCCGCAATGGTGAGTTCTTGATTTGATGGCTGCAGACATTGATTTAATACTTACTCTATGTTGTGTCGAACCTAAGCTTCCAGTTGCTATTTGTTCAATGATTGCATTTGCATGCAATCGCCGCAGTAACGCTTCCGCACTACAAAATGGCCTCATGTTGATGGCTGGAGGTGTATCTTGTCGAGTCAATGAATTTCTTCATGTCTTTGGGATGACATCTTCACGAGACAGTGTACTTCAAGCAATGGATTCCCTCCGCATCTTGCAAGAAAATCGGATAATGGAGGTATTCAAAGTCAATCGCAAAATGATGCCTTTATTGTGTTTTGACAATGTAGACATACAATTACGCATCCACAATACTCGTATAGACACCTCATCAAAAATGTTCCACGGTACCTGGGGTTTCTACATCGTGGTCCGTGCTTGTCTTTTGGCTAAGTGTGAAGCAGAAGCGGTCAATCTGGCTGCATTTTTGGCCGCAATGAAGGCTGCCAACAAGAAGGCCGTCAATATTGAAACCTTCCGCCCAACTCCTTCAGAGTCAAAGCATTTCAAGAAGGTCATCAAGTGTCAGCTCGCCAAAGCTCTCAAAGAGCACATTCATCATCTTCCAAATGCACCTGAAGAAAAAAACCTACCAGCTCTAATGTTACGGCCACCCCAAATCGATCGAATAGAATTTCATACTCCCAATATTCATTTCTTGCGCATGATGGATGCTCCAGACTCTTCAGCTGAAGGGGTTTCCCGAGTCTTTGATGCAATCATGTCACAAATAGGCTTGTCTAAAGAAGATTACGCAAAGAGCTTACTAGTGGCTGGAGGAGATGTTGGATCAAATCAGTTGGTTGAAAGCCTTCGCGGTAAGCTAAGCCCACCAATTGACGGAGTCGAAGGCCTCTCATGGATCCTATCCATTTTTGGAGCGGCGCACACGACCTGGAACTTCAGTAAAGCTATATGGGCGTTACACTGGGGGAATTCCAATGACAGCGAGGATAGTGGGGCCTGGCGATCGTCATTTGAATTGGGAGGTGATTATACCAAGCCGGTTGCATCCCAAGACTTTAATTCTATTATGAGATCAATGCAGATGGTGCATCAGGCGAATATTGTGTTCATCATCAGGTGTGTTTCTTTCCAGTTGATGATCCTTGCAAACTGTGTTCTGATCATTGGATGTTTTGTATCTTTAATGTTATTATAGCGAGGTGATTGAGACTTTAAGTGATCTCGATATGACGACCGAATCCGGCTGCAAACTAGTCCTTGAGACGGCTTGGTCCCGATATTTTGATTCTTCGGCTATAGAAGATGCCCGTCAGTCCAAAAAGTCAACATTGTACAATCTGATGCTTTGCTTGAGAGATTTTGGAACCATTGTCGAAGCCCATGAAGCCACTCGCGCCGGAGACATAGGACGTCTAATGGCTATGTGGAAGCGCTGGTCCATTATGGCCCAGGGGGTGACTGGCCTTTCACACTATTCACGGCATATTCCTCGCATGGTATTGCTTTTAGAAGAGGACCTTCCTGCACCTTTAGCGCATGCAATCAAGCACTCGATCCTCATTCCATCAACAGAGAGAGACAACCACTGGATGCCCATGGATGAGTTTCAGGAGATTAATATATTTTATCTCAAACATGTTTATGATAACACCGTAAGCTGTCTGCTTGTTATTGTGTATTGGTGTTCTTTCACCCAATAGTTATGAGGTTTAACCATCATCTAAGTATCTAAAGCTGACATCAATCTTCACTCATGAAGGGACACGGCACAGATATTGAAAGGCTCATATACCGCTACTCAAACAATATACCACTGGTGCGCTGCTAACTTTAAGCTTCACACTGGAAGATAAATTTCAGTCATTTAATGAATTTCATGATATTCTAATGTAGCTACGAAAGATAATCCAATTGCTGAAATCACATTCTGGTCATAAGATCATTTACCAACCAAACATGAACAAGATAACGGATTCTTCAATCGCAAACTTCCTTTGATATGCTCGAGATCACCTCTCAAAGGAAGTTACTGGGCGAGAACTTGCCTTGGTGTCCAATTGCTTCAACGTTGGATTGTATCAATTGATAAAGATGATCAGAGTTGACTCAGTCGCGGGTTGATTGTCCCGCTTTCGCTGGGGAAGCTCGTGTGCTTATGAAGATTTAGAGGGTGAAGGGGATTTTCTTGATGAAGCGTAAAATGATCTTTTTGATGATAATCATTGGCTTGAGTAATTTTTGAAGTAGATTTGAGGTTTTCTTTCGGGATCTTGCAAGTATATATGGAATATCAGCCATTTTGATGTCAAGTAGTTTCACAGTCTAAGCAGCTTACCTCGCCCGATGCAATTATTGCTTTCTTGATAGGAGAAGTATGAATATGATCACTTCCAGGCCTCTTCTTTGACATCGCTTTCTTTGCTTTTTGTTCTGCTTGAGCGCACAGCCGGGCCTCGCGAGCTAGTTTCTTGATTTCCGCGACCCTAGCTTTTTCAACAGCTTCTCTTTGTTTCTTGAGAGTTTTGGCTTCTGCGTCTTTGATCTTCTGACGCTCGCGACTTTCCTTTTCAGCGAGCTGAAACCACAAAACACTAGTCAGATGCGATGTGAAGCCATTTTTTATAAATAAAAAATGACCTTTGCTTGCTTGTTGGCCTCCTTTTCAGCAATGTCTTTTAATTTGGCCAGTTCGGCCCCTTCGACTGACATAGGTGGCTTAGTGACTGTGCGGCGGGCTGATTTTCGACGTGTGGCTGCTTCTACAATAGACTTTTCAGACGCAGCCTGGCCTTTCCATTCCGTCAACGTTGCAAAAAGGCGCAAAAACTGCCCATCTAGGATCTCGCTAGCAAATATCCGACGCAGATCTTCAGGTTTGTTGATGATGTCAATATTTTTAGCTACTTCCCAAGCCAGTTCAATTGGGAAGTAGTTCCACGGTCCAAATTCGGATTTTTTAGGCCATATTTGATAGAAGTGATCATGAAATGTGTTCTTAAGTTGGTTCACAAGCGCTTCAAGAGCTTTGGACGCCTTGATGGGATCGCTGACACTGCACATCTGTAGCTCGGGTTCCAGTGTCGCTTCGGGAGCTGGAGGTGGTAACGGGAGTGATTGGGCCATTTGAATTAAGTCCTGCTCGCCAAGTTGCATCGCTTCGTCAAAGTTGATGACAGTGAGAGCCTTCTGAGCCACCCAAAGGGCTTCGCCTTCTTCAGGCAAGCAATTACTACAATCACAAGCAGGCATACCCGCTGCAAGCTGACGGCTTTCCTCCTCCTCAACCACACTCACATCTGAGCTAAGAGGTACATAGCCGTATCTGAGAGCAAATGTCAGGTACAACCTCATCAAAACGAACATATCAACAAAAATCTCACTTTAAATCTACTGCCAGAGCAACACGCAGACATACCGGCGTGATTGCAAAAGCATCCATTCGGTCGTCATCATTCATCAAGGTTGGTGTAATGAAATCCTCCACGCAGTTCTTACCGTTCGTCCTATTGTTTTCAACTAAAAATATTGCCAGGCCACGACGGCCATTGCGTCCACTACGACCAGCCATCTGAATGAAGTTACAGGGGTCCTGACGACCAACCACAATGACACGTCAAACTCGATGCCAATTCTGGCCAAGACCAAGAGCAAGTGTACAACAGATTACACATAGCAGACCTGATATGTACGCCTCCACGGCGGCAAGCTTGGCCTTGGGAACTGTAGTGGCATGATAGCGTCGAGCAAATGATGAATGACCGTTTCCGGCTTCGCTAGGCTGACCACGTGCAATGTTGATAAGTCGCAGGAAATCGAGTGTCGCATTTTGGGTCCCGGCGTAGACAAGGGTCGGCGGTATCTCCTCCGTTTTGATAACAGAGTGTTGTGCGAATACACCTATCAGCGCAGCTTTAAGAGGGCGTTTGAAAGTCCTTCGGATTAATCGTATTTCAGGGCGTGTCAGTTCAGCTCTACAAAATCTAACATCACGGTCATCGAGCTTGAGGTTTGAAAGGATAGCTTGTATTGCCTGTGGTGTACATGTGGCCGACATAAGGAGGAGAGGAACCTTGTCGGTGGCGAGAAACCGACGAGCAAGTTCTCCGTAGTGAGGTCGAAACGCTCCAGTATCTTGAACTCTTGAACAGCTTGCCAACCTTTTAGCTTTTCCACTCTTCACAAGCCCCCATGTGTATATCATGTGTGCTTCATCAACAACCTTCAGAATCAGCCTGGCTTGAAATCTACGATCCATGAACATTTGTGCGAAAATGTTGTTTGTCAAAGCAACCTCAGGGCTCTGCATAAAATTCATTGAGTAAATAATAAACATTTGACAATCAGTATTAGACACAAAACCATAAAATCTATGAATGTGAGATGTTCACCACATAAATAAATGAATAATCGCCCCTGAGGATCACATCACATATTTCGCGAGTGCAGTTTGCTCCAGTGAGGTTAACTGCCTTCAGACCGACAAGCGATTTTTCCAATACCTAACAGGCAAAGTCCATATCAGCGATATCCAAAACTTGATAAGCTACAAGGTTGATCTCACCTGATCATCTCCAAGCAAGTCCAATGGGTTCAAGCACAATACTATAGGACAATAGCTTGGATCATACATGTGGTACACTAGTTCCGGAACCCGACTCTTTCCAAATCCGGTGCCTGCTAGTAAGAACATAGTGTGGTCGTTGATAAGGTTGACCGCAGTTTCAATCTGCTGGGGCCGGGCAGGGTAATTGTACTGCTCCTTAAAAAAATCAATTGCTGTCTTAGCTTGGCTGGCCTCTTTGGCTTTGAGATACGGAGTTTTCAAGACCGGACGTTGTAATAGAGACTTCGCTGGCCGTGTGGGAAAGAGCTGCGCGGAGCTTTGACTTCGTGTGAGCATATTTGAGAATCTGATTTGGAGGTTAATTTGTGGCGTTTGAAAGAATATGTAGGTGAGCGTGACCTTTGATGAGGATGATACTTGGTATGGGCGGTTGCACCACTCACCACTCACAAGCTCACAACAACCACTCACAAACTGCAGTTTGATCAGGTAGGGCTTGAGGGGTTTTCTGCACAATTGCTCTTTTTGGCTCCGCAGTCATATCCTAGTCATGTACGGCCCCGTGTATCAGCCAGGATGGACTTTGCTTCATAGCTTGAGAATTACTCATGCTATTGCAAATCTGAGATTATGGGATGCTAGGTAAGACCGAGGCGCATCTTTTTTATCTTTGGGCTGGCGGGAGTTGAAAATGTAACAAAAAAGTTTTATAATGAGGATCTTTTTTTGCAAAAAGGACCGAGCAAACTCATGCCAAGATTTCGAGATAAGCCGTAAGTCAGGACCCCGGCTAAGTCCTATAGATCATAGGGATGAAAAATCGGGCAAAATCACCTAATTCATTCGTGTTTTTTTGGGTTTTGGGGGCCATTAATTCCTTTTTGGTCCCTAACCTAAAATGATGGTTTTCGAGGTTTCCAGGAATTAATTCCTCCAGATCCCTAACATTGAAAAGCTTGTTTTTGGGTGTTTTGGGGCACTTGAATTTTTTGGAAAAAAATCGAAAAAAATAAAGATTTTTGGTTGCTCAATCAACTCTAAGGCTGTTCAATATATTTTTCAGGTTGACTGATGTATTTCTTATAGGAAACGAGAGAGAAGAAGATAACAATTCATTGATTTGAAACTATTTTAAAATGTCATAACATTCACTGCCAGCATTAAAGAGGTTCCCAGGTGGGAAAGTGACCTAGGCTGGGAACATGATTGAGAGTAAAATGGTCATGAAATCATCTTGCACTGCACAGCTGAGCCTTGAAGCATATGCTACATATGTGCAAACATCTGTGTAAATCCTTAGCTATCAGCTACATACACATCAGCTCAGTTATCTGTTCATCTGGATAGGGAAATTACATGTAATACATGTTGTAATTTTGCTCAGATTGTGACAAGCATTTTGAAAAATTGACTACATATATCACAATGACTACTCAGGCAATATTTCTTAGGCTGTGTAACAGTAACAGAAGGGGAATCTGGTCCCTGGGACCCAGATTCCCATCCGGGAACCTCTTTAATGCTGGCAGTGATTGTTATGAAATGAGGCTATTTCTTAGATTTTTGTGCAGCCAATTCAGCTTCGACATGAGCGATATATTCAGGTTTACTCATGATGGTGAGCATTGGTCTCACATTTGGAGATACCCAAATTGCACCATCATCGCCCTCGATCTCTTTGAGATTGGGAGGTGTCGTTTTTGGGAATATATAGTGCACATTAGCACATTCACAGAGCGAAAAGGTGAGGCGGTGAGAAACTCCAGCTCGGTAAGACATCAAACCAACTGCTGAAGGATCATAGTAATAGATCATAAGGGCCAGATAAGAGATCTTGTCGCGAGAGCTAGCAGTTATCTGCCACTCATGATGTCCGTTTTTGTAAGCATAGATCTCAAGAATTTTCCCGATATACATATTCTAAAGCAAAGAAGCCATCATTAATATAAGATAGTTGATCATGGAGAAGTTACAGACAAACCTTTTTCTTGATGACCACGACAAATTTACCAGGTTCAAGCGGATTAGTTTTTGACACTGACCCTTCATTGAAAAGTGTTTGCATTGGAATAGTCACAGTAGAAGGTGAATTGATCTGAAGCCGATGCATGGACAGCGGTACATGCATGTTCCATCGGTGAATTCTAGCTACAACCTTTTCGAGGCCTTCAGCGTTTTTTACAATTGATGCAACAATCTTGCTGCAGGCCCGTGGATCGAGTTTATCGGGTGTTTCATCAGGATCGAAAGCAGGAGGATTTTGATCGGGAATTTGCTTCTTCCTACGCTCATTCCCTTTCTTCCTACCAACTTGTGAGTCGTTCTTCACACAAAGATTCAACAGAATCTCGTGATTGAGCTTTCCATCCGATTTGATAAAAGATACAGACGCTTCATGTGTAAGGTCAACTTTATTGGTAAATACTTGAACAGCAGAATTGCTAGCGTTCATCTCTTGCAAAGACTTTTGACCAGCAGCAACATAGTCCGCCTTGATCGCGTCATCGTCAAGGCCCAAGTCTTCTAATTGACCGTCTAGATCGTGGCGCCGTCCAACCATTGCTGCAGATTCCTTCACAGCCTCGTTAGTATCATCGTCAATCAGGATGGGTTGTGTTGGAGTAGAGGTTTCAGGTGGTGCGACTTGGAACAGATCTTCCGAATCATCGATATCGACTTGTGAAGTACTAGGGGACTCCGACTGAGCATCACGATTTTCTTGCATGCCGGTGAACTCAAGGAGGGTTTTTGCACGGCTTTTTGCGATTGATAGCAAGATGTTGATCCGTTCATCACTTGGAAAGGTGGTGAGATGAGCGTAACATTGACTACCAGTACTTGCTTGATTCCAGGAGTATTGAGACCCTAGACCAATGTAAAACCAACAACATCAGTGAGGTTCAGAAGTTTATGCACAGACAAAACTTACCCGAGTGGATGTGTTCACCAGTTGGAATTTTTACTCTCTTCATCATGATATTCTTGATGATGGTGAAGATCTTAGGCATCATCTGCATCGCATCAAGAAAAGTGAAGTTGGGTAGGATGACACGCATCCATCCAAATATATGCTCACATGCCTCAGTTCCGTGCTTCCACGGCATGAGCGGATGTTCAGGATAATACTCCCGATGTGCTATTATTAATGTGAGTAAAGAGATCGCTAGATGTTTGAAAGTCTTGAAAGACTCGTGTGAGATTCCATTCCGATCCAAGGACATGAGGCCTGGCGAATCCCTCTGCCTTTCCTGAAGGTATTCTTCCCACCGTTCTATAAAAAAATATGATGTAAAAACCGATAAGAGCCGGTCTTCATGGCTCATAGTTTGATTCAACCAAGCATCGCAAGCTTCGCCAATTATGTAGAGATAAACTGCAAGACCAATACATCCATCACGGACCATTGCAATCTTGAATGTTTCGTTGTTGAACGTTCGGTATGCTCGGCCATCGTCTTGCCGATCAACATTGAAAACATCCTTTTGGTAGAGTGACGAGTTTGCACTTTCGATGACTTGGGCAAGTTGTCCAATGGTGACAAAGTACAGACCAAATGAGATGAGTCGTGCACCTGAAAGAATTTGATTGGCACCAGTTTTTTGAGCATGTTTAGGGTCCTGAACTACAATAAGTGGTTTTTGTTGGCGTCCAAACAGAGGTATCTTGATACAAAGGTCCACCGATTCAAAATAGAATTCCAGATGGTTGAGGGCCTGGTCGATCAGTTTGGCCTGTGCTGAGACTTCGGTTGCTGCACCATCGGCTCCGATCGACAAGATTGATAAACCACAATCTTCTGCCATAGAAAGGAATGTGGCGTGCATCTGTGCAACCTCATTTGCATTTTCGTTCCCTCGACTAGGAAGTAAGGCAACTACATAACTTGGCATGTTGAGCAGAGGTACCTGAACGACATATGATCGTATCTACATAAGGCAACAGTCAGTTTTGAGTTCATGAGAAACAAGAGTGAAATGCTGAAAAATTCACCTTTGAAGATAGCTCGTTCTTTGCCAAAAGATCTTTACACATCTTTGTCAATTGTTCGGTGGATGTGATTTTGATAGGTCCGCCATGAGCGCCCACCACATGGTCATTGTGGACTCGTAACGTCTGTTCACACTTTGTTTCATCAGAGCCAGATGAAAGAGGACCATTATAACCAATCGCCTTGAGAGCTTCCACCAGTCGAGTAAAGTTTTGTTGACAAAGACCGTGAGCAAGCTGCATTCCAGTAGCAGCTCTTAAATGGCGCTGACTGCGTAAACCACGACCAGCGAAGTTCTCGGTAAAGAATTGAGCAGCTTTTGGACTCATAGCAGCAAGAGTCATCACAAAGTCATCGAAGTAAGATTGAAATTGCATCCCAGTGGTCCCCTTTCCAGCTGCGGTCCGCTCAGTTCGTACAGCAACTGCTTTAAGGAGGCCTTTGAAGATTTCAAGGTGATTGAATGCTCCGCTTGCTCCTCAATGAGCAAACACTTTGAAGAATTCTTTATCTCCAAGTTTAGTTGCTTTCTCTAGACTAGTAGCAGCTACATCCAAGTCGGGATAATCTTGTCGAGCAGCATGATATACATCCTCAGCAGTGTAATTATTGCGGATGTATTTCCGGAAATCAGGGCGTGCATAAGACTTGTTGAGAGCATGTAGAAGGCTTGTGTCGGTTCGGATCGACAGACATTCAGTGCAAACAGGTGATTCTTGTCCGGCTTGTTTGAGAATCGACCCAAGACATTTGGTTGAAAAGATAGCCTTGATTTCAGCATGCCTTTCAATTTTCCAGGTAGCGCGGGCATGTCGTTCTTGAGTGAGTTTCGCTTTCTGTTCAGTATTCAATTGGCCTTCGGGGATCTTGAAAAGCGACAGAGCAAGTACATCACGTCTAGGAGCACCATGGTATACAGATGTTGAGCCGATTATACAGTCATGAATTCGGTATTTAGCCTTTGGCCGTGGCCAAGTATCATCAGTCAATCCACAACATGGTGTCTGCCAAGCTTGGCGTTTGGCTTCATGTGCTCGTGGACTGATATCTTGAGCTGGTCGCTTCTTTTCAAAGAACAAACCAATCGGAGGCTGTTGACGCATGGCTTCAGCCTTTTTTTTACACAAGCCTGATACAAAGATAAGAAATAGTCAGAAATTACGCTACATCTGCAAACTTTGTGAAAAAGACACTGACCCTTTGACCAGTGGACTACCACATTCTGGGTGCGACCTCCAGGTGTAGAGATAGATTCACCACAGTGACAGCGGAAGAGATGTTTAGCTGAAGTCGAGACTACTTGACAAAGAGTACACGGGACACCTGGTGTAGAGTTTGGGCATCTTGAAGGTAAGCCTTTCACGCCTTTTGGAACACTAGCTTCGGAAGAGTTACGGTTTAAATTTGATGTCGAGCTGGGTGATTGTTCTGTGACAGGATCCGAGGTTACATTGGCCTTTGTCTTGGATGGGCAAGAAGGTGGGTCAGGAAGTACAGCTCCATGATCTGAAGACGTTGAATGTTCCAAAGATGAGGTGTTAGTAGGATCAATCAAGTTTCAACCTCGAACAAGAAGTTCTAACACACCAATCAGATGCTGGTGAATACTTTCTAATTTTGTTATGAGAAGTTTTTCCGAGTTTTGATCCCAGGTGGTATGTTCTCGTGCTTCATCAATCCAGCCCATGACATGCTCCACACCATAACATCCAGTAAATAGTTCATTTTCAATGTTGTTGACACTAAATATCAAGTTCATTTTGGTATTCAATGTCCAGAAGATCCCTATGTCGCGGTCTGAATCAGACAGTTTAGGTGGTGATTTGAAGACAGTATATATGAGATCCTCGGTGGTGGCTGGGCGAATAAACTCGCAGTTACGTGAGAGGTGTATTATATCTAGCTTTAAATCTTCGTATGAACGCATATTGATTATAACTTTGTTTTTCTATCTGGTGAGGATTTGTGGTGATCTGTGGTGATAAAGCGGCTGAAATCAAGTGAGGTAGCAAAGTTCTCAGGTGTTTTCGGACTGTTTCGGAGGTTCATGCAGGATGATTAAGCTTCAATTCATTCCTGGTACATTAGTATGATTAAATAACCATAATTTGGCCCGACACAAATTCATTCCTTGACATCCCTAACAAGTGGCCGGGACCGGGGCGGATAATTCCTTTTTCAACCCTAACATAGCAAAAACCCAAGGGACCGATTCATTCCTTTTTCATACCTAGGATTGATAGGACTTAGCCGGGGTCCTCGTAAGTCCCTCGCTGGCGCTCGTGGCTGTATCGGCGAGGGACTTAGTTAAGTTTGGCTCAAAACCGATTTCCTAGGGAGCAACATTTGAATTGTGCTGAGCGCCAGAGTTTGAGGATGTGTATAGAAACGGAAAAGAAAAAAAGACAAGGAAAGAGTTTAGCTCGAAGTAAACAGCTCTTTCTAAGGCATAAGTCATTTCATTTGTAAATTTTTGTTAGTGTTGTATGCAATTACGGTACTCAAAACAATCAGGTTCGTGCTACCTTTCTTGAAAACCTGCTTTCAAAATGTTGTTTTTGTGGGGAAAATGAACTGTAGAAAAATCCAAAAAAAAGTTCCAGCGAATTCCCAGGAATTCCCCCGCCAAAAGATCAACTTTGAATCTATGTTTTTGACATTTTTTGAAAAAGGTGGCACGAACCTGATTGTTTTGAGTACCGTAAATAAAGCCAATTCGCACTCAAAAAAAACACTGGCCAGACAGCGAGGGTAGAGCAGCGCTAACATCATCCAACGTCCCGCGCTGCCTCTATGGCTACTGCCATCAGAATGGCTACTACCATCAGATTAACATAGTGCTGGATACCAGTAGACATATGAGCCATGGGGGAACTGAACTGTTGAGCTCGCGTAAGATGTGTGACACTTTGCGACAGATAGCCATTCAGACTTTGGATTACAATCAATTCTGTGAACGGCCAATTGAAAAGGATACAAAGATATCATGAAGCGCTTTCAAAACACTACAGGCGACTAGAAGATGAAGGATAGGTGAAGCATCATCACACAGCGATGACTTGAAACAGATCACTAAACAAAGAAACTCATTCAGATCATAAGCAAAGGAAAGAAGCAGAAAGAGGTTGACAACATTTGAGATTCTGTTTGGTTGTTCAAACAGGAATTGAACGGGTTTGATTACTAATACCACCTGATCAAATCTTCTTTAACTAGATTGCTTTTTCTTATCTTTAGATGAACCTGATTTCTTTTTGGATGAACCTGATTTCTTTTTGGAGGAAGACGATTTCTTTTTGGATGAAGTGTATTTTTTCTTGGATGAAGTGGAAGACTCATAATCCGTCGAATTAGAATTTCCACTGGATGAGGATGATTCAGAACTGGTTGAATTGGTACCTTCGGTTGTTGGTGATGTTAAGTTTGTCTCACTGGTAGAGTTGCTTGAACCAACAGTTGGCGAAGTCGTTGAATTGCTCGAACTTCCCGCTCCGCTAATCGTACATCTAAGGATATCAGAAAGACCAAATTGAAAATTAGAGCTTGATATTGCTTTCTTTTGGATTGGAATTGAAAGACTTACCCTGGTGGAACCTCTCCCTCGCTGGTACCGGCGTCCTTAGCTTCACACATAGTCGTCGCAGCAGTTCCACTATAACTGTTGATGTCTACAGTATCACCATCTGCATGATTATAACCAGCCAAGACTTTTACACCTTTGATGTCAACATTATCAAAGACGACCGCTCTTTTGGTAGTCGTTTTACAATTACCACATGAACTGATGATGAACTCACAAGAGAATCAGATTGGATTGGATGCGATTGGATTGAAAAAAGAATGTGACTCACCGATAAGCAATGTCAACGTTACTAAAACATGCATTGTTCACATTCAAGGTCCCTCCACTAAAGTTTAAGGAAAGAAAATTAAAAAAAGTCATGACCGAATTCAAATCAGATTATACCTTGAATCATGATGCTTACCCATTAAATTGGAGAGCCTGAATGCAATCAAAATCAAAGAAGAATCTTGAGAAAGCTGTGCCAGGTATATTTCAATGAAAATCACATTGACTTACTTTGTTACCTGCGTTTGCAAATGAACAACCACTAACAGTTGCTTCACCACTTGTCATTTGAAAGTTGATAGCGTCATCACAAATTTCTACCCAATGCGAATTTTCAACTGTACAACCACCTTTGCAATGTACACCTGGGTACGCATATACGAAAAAAAATCAAGATCAGTCATCTTCATCGAGCCCGAGATGTATAGAAATAATTGATGGATTTGAAACTGAGACAACCTTAAACTTACTTTCTTGGGAAAAACCAAGTATACAATTCTTTAAAGTAGCACCTTCTTCAAGTATAAAAACGGCATCTTGATCACCTTTTTCATTATCTAAATTACAACTAGTATCGGTATGTTGATACTTTGCAAACTGACAATCAAATGTTTCTCCAGCCGCTACAGTGGTGGGAGTTGAAACAGTAATCGTTTTCGAGATTGAAGGAACATTACAGTCGCTAGTAAGATCAGGATTATACTTGGAAGCATCTAAACCATCTGGTGCATTTGGGATCACTTTTGCTTTTCTCTTTGTTAAGAAGCCACGATGGTTTTGGTTTGAGTTATGATGGTATGGAAGTCCTGCTTCCAAGTAACTTAAGAATGAAAGCACACTGAGTAAAAAGACAACAGTTTGTTTCATTTTGAATGAGACTTGGGCGTGCTAATAAATTAAATTGAATGAGCTCAAGAGTGAAGGATTATAAGATAATCAAAGGAGAAAGTTTTAAGGAAGACGACTGATTCAAGTTGTAAAGTGCTCTGAGGAATTATTACTTCCCCGCTGAATTGATTGCATCTTTATACCTTTTGATTTCACTCCTCCAAGCCTCCTTGACCATTCCAGCTGCAGAAAGAGGCTACTCTACTCACATCATGATCAACGGTCCCTTGCCGAGAAGAACTGCGCTGCGGAACAACACCTTTCGGAAGTGTCATCATCATCCTGCTCAGATGACTTGATGATCATCGATTTTACATGCGAGAAGATCGAGATGAATGGTTGAAGTAGAGAGAAGCTAAGGAGTACGAACTTTGGCGAAGAAGATCAAAGTGGACAGATTGCAAGTTGGATATCTTTGAGATTAGAAATTGTAACTCTCGCAGTTGTTGTTCATTTTCGTTTCATTTGATAAATCAAGAATCAAGTCTTTCATCTCGGGACGCTGATGGACATCGCTCTTCTCGCCTCAATGGTGCTCAAAATCAATCAGATCATCATCATCATCATCACGTTTGCTCGACTCATTTGAAGCATTCAAAACTCTTTTCTTATCCTCATTTCAAATCTAAGATGAACATCCTCACAAAAAGCAGTCAGAAGTTCGGATGATAATTGTAGCATCTTTTGAAAAGAAGCCCAACACAGAACAAGAAGCTCACTCCGATAGATACATACGTACCAAAAAAATCAGTCTAAAAATATCATTGCATATGACACTTCCATAAGAATATACGACCATTCATTTGTCTAATTTCTTTCAAACTTGATTCTGTAGGACTTGGTGCTCAGCTTTTCAACATCTTCAGCAATAAAATGAACAGCTTTCAAACCCCTATCTGAACATCTCTACAAAAAATAGTCAAAAGTTCGTATGAGAACTGTATGAAGGATCTTTTGAAAAGAACTTAAGCTGCACACAGAACAAGAAGCTTACTCCGATAGATACGTAACAAAAAATCAGTCTCAAAAAATCATTCATTGCATATGGCACTTCCATAAGAATTAAATTTAGGCCCACTCATTCGCCATTTCTTTCAAACTTGAGTCTGTAAGTCTTGGTGCTCAGCTTTTCAAATACCTCTAGCAAAGTCCCGGTACCAAGCAGTTGGTTGACCTATATAATAAGGACCAGGCGCGGAAGTGAGGTCGTCGTCGTGAGAGAAGTATCGTTAGTAGGCTCGTTTTAATCGGGTTTTAGAGCTATCTTTTCAAAAGTGGCTTAAAAAGCGTTTTCAAACGTCGTTTAGGCGAGTTAAACGATTTTTTATCGTTGAGCCTCCCATGGTTTCAGTGAGGCTCGTGATCAAGCACGCATCTACTATGGGGCTTTGATGTTACTCGCTTTTTTAATCCAGTTGCTCATCGCTCAATTGCAACGACTTCGTGAGGTCCAATTTTAGGATCTCAAGAATTCGTTGCGACTTGACGATTTTCGAGGCTAACATTTAGGTTTCGGCACTTGTGGAAGTGATTTAACCTGTGCATCTTTCCCTCAAGGACGATTTGCACAGGGTTCGAAAGCTCAAATGAGAAATAAAATGCATGGGTTTTGGAAGCACATTCATCAGAGGCAAGTGGATTTCTGTGAAAGGTACATATGGAATAGGATTCAACTATTTTGAGCCCGGTTGAAAATAACCCGTAGCCCCCTTTTTTTGGGGTATTACCCGAGATACCCGCAAAAACCCGAAGCTCCTTCGACAAATTTAGCCTGAGTCGGACTCCACGGGCTACTTGTTTGGGCTCGAAAACACTTCGCAGCCCATCATTTTAAATTTCATGCCCTACTCCCCATCTTTGGGCTACAAAATCAACGTAAACTCCAAAAGAGCACGTCAACTATTACGAAAGGGCTCCACAGAACACCTGCGCCCGGACCGGCCCCTATATGTCCTATATGCACAGGCCATATGGCCATGGAGGATACAAAGGTCAAGGTAACCCTCTTTCTTGGACATCCC